ACGCGATTGCTACATGACCAATTGTAGCCTTTTATAACAAGCTACCTTAAGCAATCCATTGCTTCCTCGATCTCAAAACTGCAGTGGCGTTCCTATAGTCTTATCACTAGCTCAACCAGATCTAATCCGTCTAGGTAATTCTGTAATCCAGTCCGTGGATTTCCATATCTTCACTATTGCACCCGAACTGGTGGGTACCACTGTTCCTTCCGCGTCCTAACAACGCGCTCATGCTATCTACCAAACAAGTGAATGCTACAGCTACACCCGCAGTCTTACAACACTCTAACACTATCTGGCTGCTAGTGAATGCTACGGCTACACCCGTGGACTTACAACACTCTAACACTATCTGGCTGCTATTGAATGCTACGGCTACACCAGCAGACTTACAACACTCTAACACTATCTGGCTGCTAGTGAATGCTACGGCTACACCCGCAGACTTACAACACTCTCCATACTACCTGATCGCTAGTGAATGCTACGGCTACCCCCGTAGTCTTACAACACTTTCCATACTACCGGGTCGAACACGCACTCGACCTAACACTCAACCGAACTTGAGTCCTAACTGAAGCTCTAATCTGGTTCCCAAAACCTGCTGTCTGAGAGTCTCGAAGGTTGTCTGCTGCTCAGGCCCCCAACGAAAGGCCACCGACTTCTTGGTCAGTCGGGTCAAAAGAACCGCAATCTCGGAGAAGTCCCGCATAACTCTCCGGTAATAACCCGCTAGACCCAGGAAACTCCGAATCTCAGCTGGAGACCTCGGAATCTCCCACTGCATCACAACCTCTATCTTTGCCGGATCGACCAAAGTACCCTTCTGGTTGACAAGGTGCCCAAGAGATTGCACCTCGTGCAACCAGAACTCGCATTTGTAGAACTTTACAAAAGTCTCTACCCCACTTAGATTCGACTAAGTCTTCACGGTACGTGAGAATTAAAAGATTCCCAATCCTTCTTTGTTCCTAATAGTCCACGGATGACAACCTGTGCCTACCCATGCTAGCGATCACTTACCAGTTAAACCTTAAGATCGCCCATCCACTGAAATCTTGAAGAGTACTCTTGAATCTGGTACAGTCTGACACCTCAGTCCACCTTCCATGCTGACAACTGGAGGCCTTAATCTTCGCTATGGCTGACGAATCCTCGTTCCCACTCTCAATCTCGCAGCGCTATTGAACTCTGACCGAACACAACCCATGCGAGAAATGCAATTCTCTTGAACATCTAATGATAGAACACCCATGCGTCTAAGACTCGCAACTAACTCCACTATCTTCATGCTATCAGTCCTTCCCTAGCAACGGTAGTGCCTTGAACTCCAAAGTTCATCCATAGACGATCGTCAACCATACCTGAACCATGATAGAACCACTGAACGCTGACTTCGCTGGAGAACTATCGCTCTAACCCTGACCGAATATCCTCTAAATAATACACCGCATAGATCCTGGCGAAGATCCAGATTGATAATGGTGCGCGCGGAACCCACTCCGCAAGATGTGCCCCTCTGTGGGTTCATCAAGGACTTCGCGGCAGGCAGAATGGCATATGACAATCCTTGATGACCCAGACAATAATAGAAGACCGACCTGAGATCCGTCCTGTCCAAACTCACTCACCATTCCAAGGCGATACAGATTCCCAATATCCACCTTGCAGTGGCAGAAGATAACATATCCGTGAACATCTGGAGGAATACTAATCACCTTCAGCTGACATGACTAACCCCGCCATACCTGTAGCAGCCTAAACCCTTGGAGTGACAAAATCCCTTGTGCACTTTCCCGTACGCACCTGGCACGAACCTCTCTTCTGAAAGTGCTCTAAATCGATCTAGCATTTGCAACCTCTTGGAAATCATATCCTTCAGGGTCTGACACCCTGTCACGCTCACTAGCTGACTTGCCAATGGCTACGCTGCAACAACTGGAACATCCTCTGTCCCCAAACCGGGTCACTAACTTCTCCCCGAAGCTTCTCAGATTCTCCAAGACTCTCACCGATTCGAGTATGGATCCTGTGCTTTCAGTAGTACGGGCCCAATACTACATTCCACACCTATCCATACTTTCCTCAGCAATCCTCCCGAATCCTCCAAGTCACTTCCTCAAACTGGTACACCCAAGTCTACTGAGCCTCACTACTAACCCACTGAAACATATCCTAGGCTTTCCTAGGTTCCCGAACTCACCAGTCGTCAGCTGCTGAAAGATTCCCAGTAATGTCAACCAGCTACCTCATGAATATAGCCACATGCAACGGAGATAAGATAATCCTTTGAGTAAAAGACCCATCCCTAGAACGGTTGGACTCAAACAAGAGCTGCGTAATAGGGTCAAATCTATCACTCTGAGATTATCCAACCTGTGCCACATGTGACTTAGCATATTCACTTAATAGCTAGTTCACATTACTAAGAATCCCACAAAGCACAAAGCAAGCATCATTCAGACAATGGAAAGATCTAACCCTCATAATCCAATCAAACCATTCTATCCTCTAATCAGGAATCTGTACATGCAATTCAAAGGCTTATACAATCAGGCATAACCTAAACAGGCTATCCTACACTGACTGATCAGTACTAGCATGTAAGTCTACAAGCACATATAATATGCATATAACGCATCCTCCTAGATCCTTAGCCCTAATCTAACATGCAGTTCTCATAATCATATCATAACATATCATAACATATATGGGTATCTTGGGGAAAACTTACTTGAGCTCGGCTGATTGCACGCATCACACACCTTGCTCTTTTCAAAGTCCTTTGCACTTTTCAAATTCTTTTCAAACTTCTTTTTATAAAAGGGTTTTACTTTTAAAAATTTTCATACCAAGTCCTTAGTTTGAGTTCAGACACACCCGGGAGTGTGCCCGAATCCCTCAAACCAAGGTTCTGATACCAACTTGTAACATCCCAAAATTCAAGACCAAAAATTTCGTTTTAATTAAGTTATTATATAAAACCATCAGTATAAAAACATTCATATTAATATCTCATGTCAAAACCAAAGTGCCAATAATCAAAACATATTATCATAAAACCATATCAGAGTGTACTCCCAAAGATCTCATGTGCGGAAAACATAGTGTGATGCGTTGCGATCAAGCCGGCTCCTTTCCTTTGAAAACGAGTACCTGAAACCAAAACTGTAAACCTTAAGCACGAAGCTTAGTGAGTTCCCCCATCATACCACATACCATACAATCACATAGCATACATAATGCCAGACAATTATGGGGTGCCCGACCTACCCGTGTCAAGCCATTCTGGGGTGCTGACCTACCCGTGTCAAGCCATTCTGGGGTGTTGACCTACCCGTGTCAAGCCATTCTGGGGTGCTGACCTACCCGTGTCAAGCCATTATGGGGTGCTGACCTACCCGTGTCAAGCCATTCTAGGGTGCTGACCTACCCGTGTCAAGCCATTCTGGGGTGCTGACCTACCCTTCGGTCCTAACAGCCGAACTTGGGGACTATTCCCCTCCTACTACCACTATCACATATAACATATCATGCTAACACATAAGCATACCAGGTAGTAGCAAACCTAGATGAATATCACAAACACAATCATCTAACATACAACTCCTACTAGTGGGCCGGTATTGTGGCCGTAGACCCACCGCTACTGGAAGGTAACTCACCTCACACTGCTGAAGTCCCGTTGACTCAACTCCACACTGCTGAAGTCCCGCAGACTCAACCCCAGCTGCTGGATGACAGGTTCCCGAACTGTCAACACCAAAATAACACATAATTAATAATTGGGTTCCAATACATAACCATAAGTCCCTACTTTGGATAATTACTACATTACCCCAAGCTTGGCTTATTCAAGCCCAAGGCCCAATCCATAGGCCCAAAGTCGACTAGGAATCAGAGCCCAACATATGGCCCAATTTTCCAAATTGGGCCCAAACCTTTAGAAGGTCTTACCATAAGGCCCAACCATTTATTCCAGTCCAACCTTTGACAGTCTAATGGTCCAACATCATATAATCATTAAGGCCCAACTATGGCCAATCTATGGCCCAATTTTCCAAATTGGGCCCAACTCCACATATGGGCCTTACCTCAAAGCCCATTAATTATTCTAGTCCATTTACTTGATCTTGGACGGCCCATTAATAACCCCTTCATCAAGGCCCAATAGAAAGGCCCAACAATAAACCCAAATGAAATTAGGGTTTCACATAACATGATGATTAGGGTTAAGTTTTCCTACTTAACCCATTAAGGATTTAATCCATTAAGTCCAATATTGACTTAGGTTGATTGCAAATGATTATTAATTAATATATCAAATTCATTAAATAATTCTGATGCGGTCCCGATAAGCCCCAAATTAGGGTTTTATTGTATTAGGGTTTTCCAAACCCTAATTAGGGTTTCCAACCCACATTAGCCCATTAGGGTTTCACTAAGCCCATTAATCACATGCTTGGGCTTTTAGGTCCATTAAGCTTCATTGGGCCCATTAGGGCTTACAAGACCCACTAGGGTTTTAGTCCCTTGCCCAAACACCCTAAACTAGTCACTATCCAATAAGGCACACCGCCACCGGACACGGCGGCCGGTGGCGGCAGCCACCACCTCACGGTGGTGGTTAGGGTTCCTTTTTCATTATTCCAATTTCGAATTACATTTTACAACTCAAAAATAAACACACTAAAAGGGAAATAAACACACACACAACCACCTTGCGGTGGCCGGCGGCGACAGATGGTTGCAGCCACCACCTCACGGTGGTGGCGGTGGCTGTTCTCGTTTTCCGACCAAGCTACACACACACCACTCATATACAACAGAATATGCACACACCCACGATAACTTCTTGCGAGAGAATCCGGCCACCCTCCAGGTGGTGGTTGGCGACGGCGGAAGCACAAAACGACGGCAGCAGCGTCGGCATTGCGATGACAGCCACCATGGCCGGCTGCCATGGTGGTTCTCCGCGACCCTTCTCGACATAACTTCCCTCACATCGCACCCACGTCGCACACGAGCCTGGAACCATACCACCATTCACCAGTGATAGCAGGAAACGCCATGAGTTCCTCCACCCACAAGGCGGCGGCGACGGGATAAATAGGAGAAGAAAAGAAGAATAGCAACGATTTGGAACAGCTACAGCAGCCGTGGGGGGTTGATTCATGACCTCATTAACAGCGGTGGCACCGGAGGAAAACGAGATTGCGACCTCATGATCTTCACAGCCTCCGGCGGCGGCAGTCGCGACTTTGAGCTCCCGGTCTCCCTTTCTCGCCTGCTAGGACCACAGTTGTTGCCTTCGTCGGCAGCAGAGGCAGCAGGCGGCGTCGTTCGGGACTCCATCTGGTCGGAAAACGAAAGAGACATCGGCGTCGGCTGGGGAGAATGAGAGGGAGGTGGCACCGGAGATGGGAGGTATAAGTTGAAGGTGGCGGCTGCATAAATGGTCGATAGGGTTAGGGTTTGAACCCTTAAATACCCGCTCCATCTAAATGTTTGCCATAATGACAATAACAGTCCCTCCCCTCACATTTCCTTTCAAAGCAAGGCCAATATTTACCATTTAAACCCTAAATCCATAAACTTCTTTCATAATAAGTCCGGATTTACTAGACAACCCCCATCTTCTAAAAATCTTTACAAAACTAATCCAGAATTTACAAAACCGCCCCTTGCTTGACGAATTCTTTTCAATTAAGGTCCAAAATTTACCCTTTAGCCCTCAACTTCTAAATTTATGACAATTAGCCCCTCGAGACCAACACCTTGCTATATAATTATAAATTTTAGGCTACTATTCATTCAGTAATTTATTTATTTATTAAATAAATAAACAGGGTGTTACAACACTGCCTTAGTGATGAAATATTGCATTCTAATGATTTATTCCATTTTAATGTCCAATATAGCATTTGAAATCGTAATGACATATTTCTTTTTGAAAAAAAAACTAAAATTGTAATAAATTATAATTCACAGTTTAGATAAATGGTTACTGTTTAATTTTTTTTAAATAGAAACATATCCTTTCATGTATAGACTATTTAAAAAACATAGCATGTTTACTATCAAAAGACATAACCAAAAATCGGTTAGGTCAATTCCAATTATAGCAAGGTAGTTTGGTTTATGTTAAATATGATACAATAAATAAAAACATCTTAGGTCAATTCCAACATAATTTTCACTTACACACATCTCTTAAACAACATTGTACTTTTTTATTTGAAATTTTTAGCGTTCTACTTTGATTTCCTTCAAACGGGACAAAAAAAAATGAAAATGCAATTGCACATACACACACAGAGAAAAAAATAAACAATTGTGGTATTATGAATAAAATAATAAACACATAATTTTATGTAGATCGTCCCTATGGGAGAGTAAAATTGTACATTGTACAAAAAGAGAACAAAATTGATTGTTAAATACTTAAATGACAAACATCAGATCAATTATGTCATTTCTTTTCTTGACTTTTTTTTTTTTTGCATAAATCACATAACAACATATGCTTTGGTCCATATGGTTATGGAAAAGCCAAGAGTTACCGAAAGGTATGAAATATGTGGTATTTCTGATTTAGTGATGTCATGTTCATCATAAACACATATAATTTGAAAACAGAAACAGTGTGTATAGGTTTTCAAAAAGAAATACATGTTATCTAGCAAAATTTCACAAACACACACACACAATTACAGTCATATACACACACATAGATACATAATGAAATAAAAACATTTATATTCACCACACACACACACACTTATACATACAAGTCAAAAATAAAACTTCAATAAAAATTAAGAACTAAAATGCTCCTCGAATGGAATTGAACGAAAATCCACAACTTTTTTTTTTGAATGCGTAATGATTTTTCTTAGTTGAGAAAGAATAAACTCGAAAACAGTATAGATTTTTTTTGAAAGTGTTCTGCAAAGGATTGTAAACTATCTATATCTATACCGTCATATAATGATAAAGAGAAAGAAAATCAATTGAAATCTCAGTTAAAATTTAAAATATCCTGATTTTTTTAGGTTTTAAATTAATATTTTCCAAGATAAGATGATGGTTATACGAATTGCTTAACTTATCATTTCAGTTTTGTAGTGATTCGATTTGACTAAAGCACAGGTCGAGAGTTAATTTAGGGGAGCAGGGGCATAAGCGGAAATTTACTTACATGCAATAGGCAGGATAATTCGATTGTGGGGGGGGGGGGGGGGGGGCTAATTGACTGCTACGTGGCAAAAATGGTTTATTTATTAGATTAGGGGATATATATATATATATAGATATATATATATATATAGATATATATATATATATATATATATCGTTAGGTTCATTTGAGACCATTATATTTTGTGAGACATATGGACGTAATCCTAACCACTCATTTTGGAGATCAAAAAAATATTTTTAAAATGCAAAACAATTGAAAATTTTTGAAAAGTTTTTATTTTTTAAATATTATTTTCATCATCTATATTTTCCAAAAAAAATAAAAAATAAATAAAAATTTACCGTTTTTTTTAAATGTATGTTAAATATTCTAGTATAAAAATTACAACAAAATTGTTAGAATATTCACATATTCTATTAAAATATTAGACTACAAATATTCAAACAATTTTAATAGAATATTAGAATATTTTATGAATTCTTACAATTTTAATAAAATATTATAATATTTTAACATATCCGACAACTCTAAGTAAAATACTAGAATATTCTAACATTTTAAAAATTAAATTTGAATATTTACATTGTAATATTCTATTAGAATATTTCACGCATATTTAAAAAAAATAATTTTATTTATTTATTTTGGGCAAATAAAAAGACGAAAACAATATTTAAAAAAAGAATTTTTGGGTTTTTTCTTTTATTTTGCATTTAATTTAATTCTTTTTATTTTTTGATCTCTAAGATGAGTGGCTAGGATCGTGTCCTCATGTCTCACAAAATTAACATGGTTTCATATATATATATATATATATATATATATATATTATATATATATATATATATATATATATATATATATTTCTCTTCTAATAAATGACTCTTTAAATTGACACATGACACCTTCTTAAACATTAACTTTGACATATGTCCTGTTTCTAAACCTCTTCTATTATCATTTCCAGCTCTAAGTTACTTTACTATCTAATCCAATTTTTTTGGTGCTTAAATTTGATTTCAAACATCCAAATTTATATCCGAAAAATCAACAAAGAAATCCCAGAAAATCAGTAATCACCGAGATATTTTGGTGTTAATTGGCAAAGTGAGAAGCAATTTTATGACAATCCATTCCAAAATATATTCATACGATTCCAATCTGTGTCCTTTCATTTTACTTATCGAATGCTGCTACAGTTAAAAGTTAAAAGTTCTTGAACCCTCCACTAAAGAAAGATTGTTGTTTATAGTAAGTTCTTCGAGTTTATCAGTTTTGTGTTTTGATTTCTATCGATACTTTGTTATTATATATACAATTTCAATCGGTAGTACGTGTTTGTTTCTGTCACTGACTGAGTTGTTGATGGGGTCTGCTTCGCATCCAATTATAATATAACCAACTAAATTTTTAAGACTACATTTTTGTATCCAATTATAATATAAGCAACTAAATTTTTTTGATTATGCAATTTATTTAATCTTTAATTTTTCTAGCATATGAATTCAGAGTTACTTAAACTATAAAAAAGTCCTTAGAGCATAGATGTTTAGAGCAACGATTGAAGTTTGTTTAGATACTTTGGCATGGTTGGAAATTCGTCTTATATTTCTCCAAAGTAGACATTAAAACTTTCTAGGTCTACTGGATCGTTGAGTAAGTTTCTAATAAGTTCTTTTTTTCTGTTGGTAGTCTAATGCCCCATTTGTTCTTTCTATTTTATTGCTATGTTTTCTCTTTTTTCAATTCACAGTATCATTATATATATGTTGTGGAACTCTTAATTAGCACACAATTCTGTTGTATATCTATAGAAAATTTGGATAAAATTTCCCATAAAAGCATAAATATATAGTTGTTATGCTTGGCTCTTAGTTTTGTCATACCCATTAATGGATTATCATACTTTTTATAAGGTTGGATTGATTAGTCTTATGATTTGATTGTAATCCGATTAGATTGTATTTTAATGGTTATGGTTTAAATGATCTTTTAGTTTGATTATATAAGCGAACTTTAAAAAAAATGTAATTAGCTTTAGAAAAAAATAGAGAAAAACTGAAAAAATTAATGGATTTTACTAAAAAAAACGAACAACTAGCCTTAACCAAAATTAACAGAGTATTAGATCGACTTCTAAGAATCATACAGCTTGAAAAAATTAATTTTGAGGTAAAATGTTTAGTAAAAAGCACTAATTTTTTTTTATTGATATACCCATATACGTGTTGAGATGGCTTATCCTGGAGCATGAAGACAAGTTATCAAGGCTTTGCCAAACTGTTAATCTATTTAAAGCAAAACTGAATTGGATTTGATAAAATTAAAAATATACATCAATTATTATATACAAAAAATTGTTTGCAATAGTATGATCAAATAATTTTTTTATATTCAACCGTTTAACATATGGGTTATAACCTAGTATATATATATATATATATATATATATATATATATATATATATATATATATATATATATATTCAATTGAGAAAAATAAAACTCTCCCTCGTGCCTGCGGAAAAGGAATGGAACATATGTGTGTTTTCAAACCAAACATGTTTCCTAAAACTATGCTAATCATTACCTTAACATATATACAAAAACATAAGTTTGATTTTTTTTATTTTTAAGTAGTTATTTTTATCGAAGAACGGTTTTAAATATATCAAAATTTATAATTTTTTATTCTTTATAAATAAACATTAATATTGACTTAGTTTTATGATAAAATAAAAAAAATATTTTTTATAGTTTCAACTCTCATTATTCATAATTAAATAAAAGTGCATTAAATTTCTATTACAATATATTCGTTATTCATTTATGAATGAAAAATATGCTTAATTTTTTTTTACAGTTTAAGTATCATTCATATATGAATATAAGCAACAATTCGTATTTTATTAACATACTACTTGATGCTCATAGATTGTTGCTATAAATAGAGAAAACTTAGATTCAAATAGGTTGCATGTGAACTTAAGGGTTAAGTTTTTCCGCCACAATTTTAATTACAACCTATAAAACCTAGCAGTATCTTAATAACAAACACCCGGTATCAAATGGATTTGTTTTAAGGACACACACGAACCTCAACCATTTCTTACAGACCATTTTGTTCTTTTTAGTACATTTTTTGTAAAGAGATTGGGGGGGGGGGGGGGGGGGG